CAGAGGCAGGCTGATCTCTGTGAGTTTGAGGCCAATCTGGTTTACAAGAGCTAGCTCCAGGGCAGGCTCCAAAGCTACAGAGAAACCCTGTCTCGAAAAAAAAAAAAAAGAAAAGAAAAAAGAAAAACCCTATCTCAGAAAAAAGCAACAACTTAATAGCTAGCTGGGCACATTAGTGGTAGTGCCTGCCTTTATTTCTAGCACTTGAGATGGAGAGGCAGGTGGATCTGTGAGTTCGAGGCCAGATTGGTCCACATCAGCAAAACCCCGTCTGAAGAAGGAAGGACTTCTCTCTTCCACCCTCACTTCCTGTGGTTACCTGTCCATGGTTAGAACGCCTTTTTACAGGTCTCCTTCCGGGGATGGGTGGCCCCTATTAAATTTAAGTAAATCAGCACTAATGTCAGTTCTTGGAATGTGTTGACATCTCAGGATCTCTGCTTTTGAAATTAGCCGTGCATCTCAGACATTCTTTCCATCACTGTAAGAGCTAGCCAATAAGAAGCTGGAACTAGCCGGGCCAAGCAGTGTTTAACAGAATACAATTTGTGTGTTGTTATTTTGGGCATGAGCTAGCAGGCGGCCGGGGTGCTGGGGACGCAGCCCCGCCGCTCCCTATTTCAACAGATGGCTGCCCAACCTGAGGATAACTGAATCCACAAAAAGCCTCAGAAAGCTTGGGAAAGAGTAAAGCATGCATGTTTTCTTGGTAGCAAAAATTTTTCGGGTCTACTCTGCTTGCTAGAGGTAAGCAAGCGCTCTCATCTAAGAAAGGCTTCCTGACTCAGCTTTAGCTGCAAAACCCTGCAGCTCATTAAGAGGTCCTGCCAGGAAACACTTAAACGGTGTTGACAAAAAGCTGAAGGCATGCTTTTCGGTTTTCAGCCATAGCAGGAAAAAGCTGCGCTGTTTAAAAATGACGGCTTTCTGGGCCGTCCTGCCAGGGCAAACTCTGACTGAGACAGAAGGGCCAACTATGGAGAGAGGACTTGACTGTTGTCTGTTGTAGCTCGCTGGCTGGCAGGGACCTTGAAACGCCATAGAATTGTGGCTATAAACATGGCTACAGCCTGTATCTCCGCCATGAGGCTGGAAAGCTAAGGAATGGACTGGATCTACCTGGCAAAGCCACGGCTTTAATCCTACTCATATTGCTCAGTAATTTAAAGGCTCGTGTAGTCAGAAAAAGAGAGATATACAGTAAAGAGATTCAAAGACAAAAATTTTAAATGATTTACAGTGTGTTGAAAATAATATGCAGACTAAAAGTTAAAATTCTTAAAGTAAAAAAAAAGTAAGAAAAAGAGAAGTTGTGTGTGGTAGTACACGCCTTTAATCCCAACACTTGGGAGGCAGGGGGAGATTGACCTCTGTGACTTCAAGGTGTGGTAGCACACGCCTTTAATCCCAGTACCTAGAAGGCAGAGACAAACAGATCTCTGTGAGTTCAAGGTTGGTAGCAAACGTCTTTAATCCCAAATGCCTGCGAGGCAGAGACAGGCGGATCTCTGAGAGTTCAAGGAGAGCCTGGTCTACAGAGTTATTCCAGGTCAAAGAGATACAGAGAATATAAAATAAACGAAATAGAGGTTAAAATAAAGCTAGCAGGCGGCCGGGGTGCTTGGGACGCAGCCCCGCCGCTCCCTATTTCAACACATCACCAAAACAGTCCTCTGTCCTTTTGCGTGGGTCCCAGATCAGGAATCAATTGGGTCCAATCACTCTTCTATCCCATCACCAGCAACAGCCTTGAACCCCCTAAGAACTGTTCCTACTGTGAGCACACTGGTGGAACCTAAATATTCACATAGCACCCACATGTCAAGATAAGCATGCCCAGAAATGGGAGATACCCCCAGGACTAGGAAAACTGGGTTGTCCGGCACCCATATCTGAAGTGTCTGCTGCTTTTCATTACCCCTCCCACTCAGAAATTTCTTTCTCTTCCTAAGGAAGGAACCTAAATATTTATCTTCTGCTCCCCCTCCCCCCTTTCTGTCTCCTCTCCTTTCTTCTGTACCAGATTCTATTTCCACCTCACATTGCCCCTGTATTTTCTTCTAAATCCTGACTTTGTTGTGTCTTGGCTTAATCTGTTAGCTGTCCACTAAACTTTCAGAGAGAGCTGGAACCAGAAACAGCACATTTGGCAAAAAGCCAGTCACACATACCACAGAACCACAGACAAGCTCTCGGACTGCAAAATCTTTTCAGCAACCCATTCCTGGTTCTCGCAGTCAGCAGTTCACCCAGACCCATGGTCGGAAAGAAACAACACATACATTCGAATACACGTTGCCCACACAAGGCCTCTGCAGTCAGCTCACAAAGACACAATGTCTGCAGAAAAGCAGAAAGGTCTTTGCCGGCTGCACACACAGGCGATGCTTTCCCCACCCCTTCCTAAGCCGTCCTGACTGGCTCTTTCTTCCAGACACCTCCTTCCCTCCCGCTGCCTGACCGTGGCTCTGCTTCCTTTACTGGAGTCCCAAACTCGAACTGCCTGCCATTGATCTCCTGACAAATCCGCAAGCTAGGCAGTAACTTCTTCAAGTTCCTCTTGCCCTGACCAGGAATTTAATCTCGCAAAAGGACAGTCCAATCAGAGTCTGCTCCGAATTATTTCATCAGCTTTTAATTTTTTCCCTTTCTTTAATTAAAAAGTTCTTGGGGGGAGGGGAGAAGCAGAAGGGAGAAAAAAAATGAAGTCCATAAAATAAAAACAGACAGGGACAGGCAATGGTAGCACACGCCTTTAATCCCAGCACTTGGGAGGCAGAGGCAGGCGGCTCTCTGTAAATTCAATGCCAGCCTGGCCTACAAGGTGAGTACCAGAACAGCCAGGACTACACACAGAGAAACCCTGTCTCAAAAAAGCAGAGAGGCAGAGAAAGCCCTGACAGAAAGTTCACTGTATTGAGATTATGGATAAAACCAGAAAAGCCTTTGGGTCCAGAAACAAGCCTGTGAAGGCTTGTAATCCGAGCTACCCAGAAGGCTGAGGTAAGAAGACCAAAAATTCAAGGCTTGTCTGAGTTACAGAGTGAAGTCAAAGCCTGCCTGACCAAGTGAGCGAAACCATCATCTCAAAATTTAAAAAATAGATAAAAACAGGAGGGTGTGGTTCATTCGTAGGGTAGCTATTTGCCATTCAGGCCCTGAGCACGTCCCTAGCATGGTAGCACTAGCGATGGCACACACCAGTAAAGGGTAGAGTCAAGAGAATCAGAAATTCAAAGTCCGCTTCAGGCTTACAGCACGGCCCAGGCCAGCCTAGACTACGAAAGAGGGGAGGAGGAGCTGGTACAGAGCTCAGACTTACAGAGCTCTCAAATTCAAACTCCAATACGGGTGGAGGGGTGGACTAGAGCTGGTTGGGGATTAAAGGTGGCGCACGCCTTTAATCCCAGCACTCGGGAGGCAGAGGCAGGCGGATCTTTGTGAGTTCGAGACCAGCCTGGTCTACAAGAGCTAGTTCCAGGACAGGCTCCAAAACCACAGAGAAACCCTGTCTCGAAAGAAAAAAAAAAAGAGTAGTATTTCCTGGTCTCACAGAAAACCTGAGTTCAGTACCGAGCACCCCTGTTGGCCAGCACACAACTGTACACACCTGGTAATACATTCACACAAACACATCGAGATCAAAATGAAATCTTTAAATCTGAGAGAAGAGCGCTACCGCTTCTGTCCATATGGTGGTGCTCATGAGCTGAGGCCAAAAAAAAAGAAAAGGGACAGTGGCGAGGCAGGTTTCAAAATTAAGGCAAGACAAAAGAACAGACCATGTGAAAGATTATACTATTTCTCCTGAAATTTTTTTTCTCCGTCTGTGAGGCTAATAGGAGAATTAGTAATGGAGAAAAAGCCTCTAAGACGATTATGTATCTTGAAATTTCCTAAAAAGACAAAATAGATAATCATCAAAAGTACCTGCCTCAACGGAGACTGAAGCCACTAATCTGAAAGTGTTTACCGAAGCGTGGCAGGAAGGTACAGTTGGTCTCAGATAAAAATGATTTCTCAAAGATTACACTACTTGAGATGTGGTCGTCGGGCCCCAGGCCCTCCCATTTCCGTTTCCCTGAGATTCTTTTAACTGGTTATCTGGTAAGATCTGTGTTTGCCATGCCCTGGGGGGATTCAGACGTCCACTCCAGTCTGGGAAACGCCACTGTAAAGCAGGGAAGCCTTCCTACCAGAGCTGGGACTCCTTGAAGAGAATTGCTAAGGACTCCAGACAGACAGACAGACAGCGGAACTGCTCCTTCCAGGAGAGAATTTCAGGACCTCTTTTTGCACTGGGTGCAGTGGTGCCTGACCGGAATCCCGGCACAAAGAGGAGTCCCAGGAAAGAAAGCTAGAGGATGGAGGACCAAGAGAAAAATAAGTCGCATGGGTTATCTTTTGATCCCTCCAATCACAGGCGATAAACGTAAAAAAGAAAAAAAAACATACTTTAAACAAAACAACAAAAAGGAAGGGGAGAAAGGGGAAAGGAGGGGGAGATTCCTCATACACCAGGCGGCGTTGAAGAGATAACCGGTTATGACTGATTCTGCACAAGTCCTGCAGCCCTGTTAGGTCTATACTGGACTCCACGGCCATTCTATAGTCGTCTTCTTAATCATCTGTCATGCTACGTCATGCAACATGTTATTGTTGCAAGGTACCAGATTTGGGGTTTTTGTTTGTTTGCTTGTTTTTCTTTGTTTTTTCAAGACATGGTTTCTCTGTGTAACTTTGGAACCTGTCTTGAAACTTGTTGTGTAGTCCAGGCTGGCCTCGAACTCAAAGATCTACCTGCCTCTGACTCTCAAGTGCTGGAATTAAAGACATGAACCACCACTGCCTGGACAAGACAAGCTAAGCACAGCTGGGCATGGCAGTGCACACCTTTAGTCCCAGCATTTGAGAATTTCATCCCTGCCTTTGAGAATTTGACACCATTCTCAGGATTTACAAAGACGACTTTGCTTCCCAGTTTATTGTACTTCACTTACCAGTTTGTTGCAGCGCTTTCAAAGACAGTAAGTTGGATCGGGAGATATGCAGGGAAGGCTGGGCTCTGGCAGAGTCCTGGGAACAGAACCTTCAGCGTGTAGGTCTGCACCAACCTCTTTGAAGGCAGACAGAGTGCTTGCTATCCAGGAATTTATATGTTCCCGAGTTTTTCTAGACCATCCCACTTTCCTGGAAAACAACGGGTGGATCTAATCAGTAAGAGATTAGTGTGAGCCTAATCTCCAAGTCATTGCTGCAATTCATTCAAAGGTCTTTCTTACCTCACATGCTCCCGAATCTCATTAGCATAAATTCAGGTGTGAACATTGTGAAAGCTCAGGAGAGTGTTATAAATGACAGAAGATACTAGCAACACTCATGAATGGCCCATGAGTTTAGACATAGAAACAAGACAAAATAAACCTATTATACCATATTTGTTCAATGGCTTTGTTTTGTTTTGTTTGTTTGTTTTTTGTTTCGGTCCCAGTCTTGCTTTGCAGCCTCATCTGCCCCTGAATTCAAGATCATCCTGACTTGGCCCTGCCAGGTCTGGGGTCTCCAGTGTGCCTTCTCACCCCCAGCTGGCAGTGTCTTTTGGGTGCATGGGACTCTGAATTCTTGTGCTTAGAGCGCCCACACTGGGCAACATACCTCTTCGTAGTCAATTCACATTGTACAGAGACTTTAAGGAAAATAATCTAAAAGGTACTAACTTGGATTAACTGGGTAGGAATTATCCCTAGGCTAGGATGAGAATCAGCAGTCATTATATTATGCCCAGATCACGGAGATCCCCCCACCCCCACCCCAACTAGGAGACCAAGTCCTATATGTAAAAGCAAAGAGCCTTTATTCTTACAAAAATTGACAAACTTGGCCTCTCCATGTGTCCATCATACTGGAGTGCTCAGAAAGCCCCGAGCTCAGCTGGGGTTGAGTTTTCATAGCTGCGAAGGTGGGGGTGAGGGATTTCTAAAGTTCAGGACCCCTGATAAGGAGAGGTTGAGATTTAGTGAGGTCAGGTGGTTCATTCCTGCAAAACTGGAAAAGCAAAGGAGTGGGGGGGGGGGGGGGGGGGGTATACATCAGGAATTCAAGGTGAGCTGGACTTGGTTGCCAACCCTTTAGTCCAAGCTGAGGCAGCTGTGTATCCTTGAGTTCAAGGCCAGTCTGGTCTCGATATAGTCCCGGTTAACAAAGATCTACCCTAAACAGTGACAATCTTATCTTTAAAAAGAAAAGGAATTCAATGTTATTTTTGTCTAAACGAGACTTAGATGTTTAGAAGAAAGGGGAGGAAAGATTTCGATAAGTCATCTGGGTGTCATTAAAGCCAGCAAACTTGTGGAACAAGGCAGAGAAGTCGGGAAATTAAGGATGGTGTGGAAGAAAGATGAGAGTTTATGAGATTTATTTATTTTACTTTATGAAAATATTTTTTTTGCCTCCATGCCTATATGTGCATCATGTGCAGGTCTGTTGGATCCCAGAAAATGCGATTATGGATGGCTGTGAGCCACCACATGGGTGTAGAGAGTCGAACCCAGGTCATTCCAAAAAGCAGCCAGAACCTTAATGGCTGAGCCATCTCTGCAGCCCCTAACTTTAGAGCCTTAGGATAGATAATTTCACATTTTGAATGTGAGATAAAAAAATATTGTGGATATAACATATGGACTGCTGAAAGATTTTATCCATACTTAAGGGTAAGGGTGAAGCTTTACTGTTTGGGAGATTTTGTTGTTTGGTTGGTTGTTTTGATTTTCGGTTTGGCTTGCTTTTTTATTTTATTTTTTGTTGCTGTTTGTTTTTGTTCTGTTTTTGAGATTCACTCTCTCTGTGTGGCCCTGGCTGGCCTAAAACTCATTATGTATACAAGGCAAGCCTAGATCTCACAGGAATCTGCCTGCTTCTGCCTCCCAAGTGCTGTGATAAAGGTGTATTCCTCAAGATCTACCTTTCCTCACTGATTTTAAACCAGAGAGTAACTTAATTCTAAATTAGTGCTAAAAGAGTTGAACAAATTCTGCTTCATATTAAGAGTAAAGCTGGGGGAAGAACGGGAAGTAGAAAGAAAGTTTGGAACTCTGTTAGGGTATTGACTGAACTGAAGGATGAGGAAAATGTCAAGAATGCATGATTGTGAAGTTATTTTATTTTGATTTGTTGAGGCAGGATTTCTCGGTGTAGCCCTGACTGTCTTGGAACTCACACTGTAGACCAGGCTGACCTCGAACTCACAGAGAACCACCTGCCTCTGCCACACAAGAACTAAAATTAAAGGTGTGAGCCACCACTGCTGGTGCAAAATACCAGATTTGTGTACAAAAGGGAACCACAGCTGTGCACAGCTTTAATCCCTGCGTTTGAGAACCTGCCACCACTCTCGCAGAACTGACAAAGAAGTCTTAGTTTGCCAGTTTATTGCACTTCTTTTAAAGATGACGAGTTGGTCTGAGGTTCTCAGGGCAGGCTGGGGTGCGACAGAGTCCAGGCACAGAACCCACTGCATGCTGCTGTGCACCAACTTCTTTGATGGCAGATACAGTATTAACGCTGAATTGATATCTTCCCAAGTTTTTCTGTGAACCAGTGCGTGTAAAATTGCAACCCTAATCTCAAGGTCACAGCTGCAATTCATTCGAAGGTCTTTCTTACCTCACATGCTCCCTAGGCTCATAAGCATGAATTCACGTTGTGAACATTGTCAAAGGTCACGAGTGTTCTATAAATGACGAAAGATAGTAGGAACACTTGGAAACTTCCACAGCATTTAGGCATAAGTACAACACATTATATATTTATTATAGCTTTTTTTATTCCGCGTTTTGTTTGTTTGTTTATCGAGACCCAGTCTTGCTTTTCAGCCCCATAGGTCTTGAATTCAAGATCTTTCTGACTTGGCTGTAGCAGGTCTGAGGTCACCAGTGTGCACTCTCACACCCAGCTTGCACAGTGTCTTTTGGATGCACAGAACTCTGAGCTCTTGTGTTTGGAGCATCCACACTGGGCAAGACACCTCCCTGCAGCAAATTCACATTGTACGTACATTAGGAAAACAATCCAAGCAGTACTAATGCCCAGAGGAGTCAGGAAGACCTGGTAGACATCAGCCCTGGGCTAGGATGAGACTCAGGAGTCCCAGCACTGACATTGCTCAGGCTTCAGTTCCTGTCAGGAGCCGTTTCCCCCCAAAATTATTGCAGGAATCATTGTCCTAAGGAATTTGCAGAGAACCCCACTTCTCAATTGTATTGAGAATTGTTTTATTGGCAGAGCCTACCCCACACCCAATTATCTGTTAATAGAGAGCTATCTGTTAGCGGGACCCGCCCCACACTCCAACTATCTAGAGAACTAGGAGTGTCAACTTGCGATTTCCTGACCCAGGAATCGTGACCTGACCGATCCTAACCTCCTGGCCAAGGACCTCGCGACCGGCTGGAACCACCGCTGCAAGATTCCTTCCTGCCCATGCCCCCCAAATTCCTCATCCTATATAAGCTGTAACCACGACTTTAATTAACGGAGGCTTCGACAAATCTGCTTGGCCTCCTTCCTCTTTCCCGCCCATGTCTTTCAGATATAGCACCTTTCCGGGACCCTGGAATAACTGACCAGCCAGGCGGGTTACAACCCTAGACTGAGTGACCCGCCACAGTGGTCTTCAAGTTCCCAGCACAGGGAGAAGGGGAGGTTGAGGTTTAGTGAGGTCAGGTGATTCATTGCTGTAAGCACTGGAGAAGAAGAGGGGCAGGAGGATATATCAGGAATTCACGGTCAGCAGCACTTGGTTTAATCCAAGCAGAGGCACCAAATTACCTGTGAGTTCAAGGCCAACCTGATGTCCCTTGAGAGAACAGATTAGCCGGGAAATTAAGGTTGGGGTGGAAGCAGAGCTGAGAGTTTATGAGGAAGAGAAAGCTTAGAACCCTCTTTTTAAAGATTTTAGGCTTATTTATTTTTGTTTTATGAGTTAATTAAGTTTTGCCTCCACGCCTGTATGTTCATCCTTTGCAGGTCTGTTGGATCCCCTGGAACTGGGATCATGGAGGGTTTTGAGCCACCACATGGGTGTAAAGAATTGAACCCAGGTCATTCCATAAGCAGCCAGTACTCTTAATGACGAAGCCACCTCTGCAGCCACTGAGATGAGGGCTTAGGATAGATCGTGTCAAATTTTGAATGTTTGATAAAAATGTTATGGATATGACTTATGGACTCCTGGGGGATTTTATCCACACCTTAACAATAATGTGAGCCTTTCCAGTTCAGGGGTTTTGTTGTTGCTATTGTTTGTTTGCTGTTTTTGGTTTGATTTGCATTTTTTTCTTTTTGTTCTGGTTTGCTTTTGTTTTTAAGACAAGTTATCACTCTTTAGCCCTGGCTGACCTGATGTTCATTATGGACCCACGGCTGTCCTGAATCACATAGAGAAATGCTTCCCTCTGCCTCCCATAAACTGAGATTAAAGCTGTGTACCTCTGTTGGGCAATGGTGCCACAGGCCTTTAATCCCAGCACTCGGAAGGTAGAAGCAGGCTGACTGTTGTGAGTTTGAGACCAGCCTGGTCTACAAAGCTAGTTCCATTCTAGCTAGGAATGTTACACAGAGAAACCCTGTCTCATGACAAAAAAAAAAAAAAAAAAAAAAAAAGCTAAAAAATTTGTACATCTGTAAACAAAAACTGTACTTTCATTTCCTGGCCACCCAGACTCAAATAATGGCGTGGAAATCATATTAGCTTTATCATTGTGTGGCCAACGGCTCAGGCATATATCTAGCTAGCCCTTACATCTTTAATTAACCCATTTCTATTAATCTGTGTATCCCCACAAGGCTGTGGCTTTTGTTTAAGGTTTTGGCATATTTCTTCTTCAGCAGCTACATGGCATCTCCTGGCTCAGCCTTCTTTATCCCTGCATTCTGTTTAGTTTTTCCCCCTTACCTATATTCTGCCAAGTGATAGGCCAAAGCAGCTTCTTTTTAAACCAATGGTAAACAAAAACACAACCTAAACAGTGGAAAAATCTTATCTAAAAAAAGGGGGGGGAGGAATTCAATGTTATTTTTGTCTCTATGAGACTTAGACGTCAAGAAGAAAGGGCAGGGGAGAAAAAAATAGGAACTCAATATTATTTTGTCCACATG